ATAAGTATAGTAGTAACTAGACTAGTAAGCTAAGAAATAGTAGTTATAGATACTCTAGAATAATCTAAGTATTATTATAAAGTATAAAAGGCTATAGTAAGAGCTAGAAACTTATTAGTATAGATAGAAAATAGGCAGGCAGGTAAGAATAAATATAGATAGTAAGTAGTAATTATGTAATATAGCTAATATAGCTAAGCTTATAAATAATTATATATAAAATATAAGTTACTAGTAATTATATAAGTATCTTATAAGTATCTTAAGTTAGTTTAGAGTTTTTATGCTAGCGTAGCTAGACTTACTTAGTTTCTTTTTAGTATTACGTAATTATATAAGGCTTATACTAGTACTAGTTAATAGTTTAGATAGCTATTAGTAATATATAATAAATATAAAGTAGTTAGTCTATTATAATTATATATAGTAACTATTATATTAGTAGTAAAGGTAGTATAAGTATAAGTATTATAAGTTATAAATCTAGACTTATATTAGAGATTTTTTAAGTTTACTTTTAAGGTCTAATATAGTAATATATTATTACGTAATTACGTAATTACGTAATTACTTAATTTTAAAAAAGTACACTATAGACTCTATCTCTTAGACCTAAAGAGGTAAGTAGTTACTTATAAGTACTTTATACTTTAATTCTCTAAAATAAACTATATCTTAATAAGTACGCTCTAATTATTTCTATTTATATAACTTTTTAAGTTTATAAGTTAAAGTAGTCTATTTATCTTTACTTTTAGTAGTAGTAGTTTATAAAAGTCTAGTTAGCTCTAAAATAAGCTCTAATAGCGTATTACTATTTCTTATAATTAAAACTAAGTTAGTACTACTTAAAAAGGCTTTTAATAAGTTTATAAGTTTTTTAGTAAGTAGTATTACTACTTTTAAAGATATAAAAGCTAATTTCTTTTAGTTATTATCTATTACGCGTAATAATAGTATAGCTTACTTACTACTATATTATATTATACTAAAAAAGTCTACTTTAGAGCTTATTATATCTAAATAGTATATATAAGAGTATTATAAAGTAGAGTAATTTAAATATTAAATAATAGAGTTAGTTAAATACTAAATATATAATATTAGACTATAATTAGGTATATTATTTTTAAAAAACTAGAGAGAAATTACTACTAAGCTATAATAGTAATTCTAAAGTATTTATACTTATAGCTAAGTTAGCCTAAGCTCTTATAGGCTAGAGTCTAATAACTTCTTATAGTACTTAAAATATTAGATATTATATTATAGATAATATTTTATTTTATAGCTACTAAAATAGCTTTTATAATAGTTTCTTTAATAGTTTTTCTTCTAGTAAATATAAAGTAGCTTATAAAATTTTTAAAATAGTAATATAGTTATATAAAAAGTAATTAATATAGTAATAATAAAGTAACTTAGTAGAGCTTCTTAGTAAGATAGTAAAGTAATATAACTAGTAAGAGATTAGTTTTATATAAACTTATAATTATCTAAAAAACTTATAAATTATTTAGAAGTACTAATATAGTAATATAGTAATATAGTATTTAGTATTAAATATAAGCTACTTACGTCTTTAATCTTTAGAGTTCTAAATATTATTATTATATAAGTATAAAGAATAGAAGAAGCGCGCTTTTACTAAAAAAGATTTTAGTATATATATTCTAACTATAGAGCTTTAGAATATATTACTTTATTAGTAATAAGTATATATAATTAGATTATAATTCTCTTATAAAGTTCTTTTATAAAGTATTTAGTATTATAATTTTTTTATAAAATATTAGAATAGCTATTATATAAATTTAAAAGATTTAGAAGCTTTAACTACTTTAGAGATAGTAGCACTAAAGCTCTAAGCTTTAGCTTACTTAAGAAGAGGTAGTAAGTGTAATTAAAGTAGCTACAAACAGAATAGAAAGCGTAGGTGTAGTAATTATAAGTTATATAGCTAGAATATAGTAGAGATTTAGATTAATTTAAGTTATGTATTTAACTATAGTAGCTAAAGAGCTAAGAGAAAAAGAGCTAATTAAAAGTGTAGTTATAAGAGTATAGTAGTAAAAAGCGTACTTTAAAAGAACTTTATTTAGTCTAAGAAAAGTATTATTAAATATATTCTAATAAAGTAAGAAATATATAAAGCTAAAGTATATAGAAGATTTCTATAAAACTATCTAAGAAGGCTAGTAAGTATTACAAGTGTATGCGTATATATATATATAGTTACTAATTATATATAGAGAGATACTAGCCTATATAGGTAGTAGATCTTATAAATCTAAACGCTAAGACCTTTAGCTTACTTAATACTATACTTTTAAAAGTAAGTAAAAGATTTAGTTATATATTCTTTAAAGTACTAGTAATAGTCTTTACTTTTTTAAAATTAGTAGCTTTTTAAGCTATAAGTATTACTACTTAAAATTTAGATTTCTACTTAATAATAGTAAATAAGATTCTCTTAAATTTACTATATATATTAACTAATACTACTAGCGTTTTTAAATTTACTATATATTTAACTTAAATTTTTAATACTTTTTAAAGTACTAAGTATAATAAAAAAAGTAAAAATACTAAAAGTTAGTACTAGTACTTTATAAAACGCTATTATAGTGCTTTAAAAAGTAGCTTAAAATATAAAAATTTAAAATATTAATATAGTTATATAAGTTATATAAGTAATAAAAATACTAAAGTATATATTTTATATTTCTTTATAGTTAACTTACTTTAGTATATATAATTTTAAAGTTTAGTTTTTTTATTTTATTTATAGTACTATAATAATATAAAGTAAAATAAGCTACTTATAATTTTTAAATTATATAACTACTATATACGTAAAGGTACTTCTTATTAAATAAGAGAGATTGCAATTCTTAGAGTATGTTACTAAGAATTAGAGGTCCTCGCGTGTTATAGGTGATTTTAATAACTTCTGTACAAGGAATGTACTGCTAGGAGCCTAGCTCCGACTCTTCTAACCAATATACAGGACGTTTAGCCGACGCCCATGACCAGCTTGGTATGATCCCTGATCCAACTGGGTGAGGAGTGTCGAGATCGAGACTATCTCTAGGGCAGTACCACAGGAGATCAAACAGTAAAGTGCTCTCCCACAGGCCAGCTACATACCTGGCTCCGTTGTTCGTGGTTTGAAGTTGACTCGCAAATGCAGCAATTGCGGGGAATTTATCCTTTCCAAATGTAAGATTCCGCCAGGAATAGCCTTGTACGATCCGGTACCATAGCACTCGTAAAGAGCTCCCAGATTCTGACATGTTGACTGCGACGCGATCTGGTAAACGGAAGTTTTCCTCTGGCTCGCCCTCGCAGACTGTTGCTTCTCGACATGCCCACATGACTTCCTGGGCGCCGAAATGAAGCACCCGCCGGGATAGACTGAGTTCCTGAAATGTCCATCCACGCTTGTACAAAGCTTTCCCATCATTCTTCTGTTTGTGCCAGTTTAGCTCGCTGGGATTCGGGGCCGACAGATCAAATCGCTCTCGAACGTGTGCCCAGGAATAGTCCGGCAAATGGGAGCCAATTCGAGACTCTGGGTTAAAATTGAAGAGTCCTTGTGAAGCGTCTTCCGCTCTTACTGCCGCGATGGACACGTATGCGATTATATAGATATCTGCCATACGAGAAGCCTGCTCACGCCAATCACAATCATCGTCTTGCACGATGCAGAGGCTATCGATCCATATGTAATGGATGTCGAGCTCTTTGCAGACTGCCAGTGCATCTTGATACGTTTTTGGAAGGCTCTCAATCCCCACACCTGTCTGGGTATGTTCGCTTCGGTTTTGAGTGGTAGTCCTTATGAGGTTCTTAGCATTACCCCAGCAGTGGCTCAAGCAGGCATATCGGTCTGGTACCACATCTTCCGTCAAAATGATGGAACTATTGCCGATGCGCAGAAATCTGATGCCTTTGAGCTTGTCCATGCGTAGTGTAGTGTCACTCCGGCACTTTAAATGGCTCGAGCAACACTTGTCAATCCAAGCCCTGATGGTGTCATATGTCGTGTTGGATGAAGTTCCTCCCGGAAGAATAACAAAATTTTCTTTCCCATCAAGCCTTGTGATTGTGGGGGGGCTGTCTGTGACATCGTCAGGTTCTTGTGGAATCTGATTGAGCCAAAGCACGAACCAACGCAAGGGGTAAGATTGACAACATACCTGAGCTTTTGAGTAGGCACTCAAAGTATAAGCTTTTTATCTGCTTTACCCTTTCCGTGTAATGCACCGTGAATCTTCCAGTACTATAAAGTACAACAGATACTGGCCGTACCTGCGTCCTGACATCAATCCATTCAAAACAGGCTTTGGCCAATGTGTGCCATAAACAGTCACCTTGAGATAGCTCACTTCGCTCGCCGACGGGTGAATGATTCATCTGGTACTCGAAATCGTGTCTGTTGACGCAGTGTTCGCACTTATGCCTCAGCAGATCCGAATGGGAGAACATGATCACTGCGGAGGAGGTTTGTCGTAGGTGTTGCCGATGAGCTTTGCAGCTGCTGAATTAGATGGTAATGGGAGATGAACAGGCCGGAGAGCGTCAGTTGACACCCCTGGGACCGTGGAGATACACAGCCTGAGAGGCTGCACCGCTGACACCAACCCAGGCTAGCGTGGCCCTCTATGCATGCCGTCAACAGGCGTCTACAAACAGCCCAATGTCTCCCAATCGGTCAGCCTTCTGTCACTATGGTCTCTGCGACCGAGCTCGATAAGGGATCGTATCGCGTTTGAAGCAAAAAGTGTGCTCAACAAACCTGCGACATGTGCACTGGTTATCTCAACTCTTGTAGAGGGACTGTAAAGTGAAACGGAGCAGGGGAACAAGATACTGAATAAAACTGAAGCGATGAACAAGGGTATACCTTTATGAGCGGAACAAAACTAAGATTACAACAACAATCCAATCAAACAGAAGCCCACTACACCCACCAACCAGCCCAACATACCCCTCACCTCGGGTGCATGCCTTGCCGCAGCACCGGTGAACTCCAAAGGAGCCGTCTGCTGTACGGGCGCAGCGCTGGCATTACTCGGCACCAGAAAGCCAGCCGCCATAGTAACTACCGGTGCCGGCGGCGGAAGGTTCTCTGTCGCGACAGCCGGTGCGGATGCGATTGGTGTTGTCGAAGCGACGGAAGAAGAAATTACGAGAGAAGTTTCGAAAGCGCTCGACGAGGCCGAAGAGGCTGGGCTTGCTGAACTCGATATGTTGAAAGTGGGAATGAACGATGAAGATGGCGATGCAGACGAAGCCTGTGTTGCGGAATCAATCGATGATTCCATCGACGAAGCGGGGACGACAGCCGAAGATTGGTTGGCTGTGCTCGAAGCCACAGATGTCGTGTTGCTCGTCAAAGCCTCTGACGTAAGAGGTGCAGAGCTCAGAGTCTCAGCAGCTGACGACGCGCTCGCGGAAGCAGTCACTGTGATTTCCGCAGTTACCTTAGAAGTAACGTAAGCAGTGCTCGTGACCTCTACAGTCGAAGTGCTGTCGGCTGCGGTTGTTGTAGTGTTGAGCAACAACGTTGCTGACGGGGTGTACTCAACAGCCGGGGCTGTTGTAGTAGCAGCGGATGAAGTCGTGGAGACAGCATAGCTCATTAGAGCCGAAGTGTAGTTCAGCAGAGAACTAGTGCATGGCGTAGAAACTGCTTCGCTCGCCATGGTCGAAGTAGTGTTCAACAGCGACGTCGCATACGCGGTGCTGCTTGCCACAGCGGAGGTACTGCTCAAAACAGCAGTCGTAGACACCATACTACTCATGGCAAGGGAAGTAGTGTTCAAGAGCAAAGTCGTAGACATGGCGCTACTCATCGGTATCGAAGTAGCAATCGACTCTGCGGAGGACGGGACCACGTCGCTGGCGAATATGAAGGTGACGTTTGGCATCAAAGTGGGAGCCGCGGCCATCTCACTAGCAATAGTCGCTGTAGTCTTCGCTGTAGTGTCTGCAATTGGCGTTCCAGATACGGTCGCGCTGAACAAAGATGTCATGTTGGCTTCTAGCTTCGGCGCCGCGGTCATGTTGGCTTCCAGTTTCGGAGGCGCGGATGTAGCTTCAACCATCATCGGCGGAGGCGGAGGCACGATAACGCCTGTAACGTTATCGAAAGCACTCTCAGGTGCTGCGCAGCCGGAGAGTAGAGGGAAGACGGCTGTGAAAATATTCTCCTGGACACCGACTGCATTGAAAGGTGGAGGAAGGATTGGTATCGAAACATCCAGAGCGATATCGATCGAAAGAGAAACATTTGCTTCGACCAAAGCAAGAGAGCCCAGGCTGAGAAGTTCGGGTGGGAATTCCGCTGTCTGGTTGGCGAATGGCGCACCCGGTCCCGTAGCATTGCTGCTGTTGCCGGCACCACAGTTCTCCGGAATGTTGCTCGACAGCTTCGCGTCCAGACGGGGTAAGTTCAACGATGGTGTGACTTCAGCCTTCAGCTGATCCAGAAAGTCGAAACCAATCGGTATGGCAGGGACGAACGCGAGACCAAGCAAGATCTCTGCGTCAGTGATGTTAACATTGACGGGCAGCGGAGTGAGACTCGTTTCCTGGAAGCCAGTAACGCGGCTGCTAGCAAGATCAGCAAGCTCCACTCGGATACTGGAACCATCAGGAACCTGAGAGCGTTAGTATCTCCACAATAACCATGTGGGAGAATATGTACCGTAAGCTGGAGTCCGTAGTTGACTTCAAGCGTACCGCTGATGTTAAAGTCAAAGGCGAGCCTGGGCTCAAAGATAGCTCCAGCCTTCCCAATCCCCGGAATTGTAAAACCAGCAATAGGAAGTTGGAACAAAGCGACCTCGAACTTCCCAGAGCTGGGCGGTCTAGCGAACAAGTCCAGTGTTGCACCAACGCCAGTCGCCACAAGCTCTACGAAACCACCACTGATGACGTGCGAAATCTCCTTGCCGTCGTCACCGCCTTCGAAGATGTCCGGAATGAGGTCGATTTGGGAAAGATCGATGTTGAAGGCACCCTGTGAAAGGGCGATTTGCCCACTTGTCGCGCATCGCTTGCACCCAATCTCGATCGGCAACGGTACATCAGGTGCTCCAACAAGGCCAGCAATACCCGATAGGAAAGCTTCGACCGGGAAAGTGGTGTCGAGAAGCTCCGACGATAGGTCAAAGGAGACAGTGTTGACATCGTCGGGAGTGTCTGCCGGTATGTCGACCTTGTTCTGTCGCTTGTTACGAATCCTGGTGAAGTCGGAGTGGCGTCGGTAAATATGATCGTCTGTGGTGTGGCCGAACGATATGTCGACATGATCAAATGCTGCTCGCCATGTTGTCTTTGAGACGGACAACTCAAGGGCTTCACCGTCCTCAGCGAACGACACGTCATTGACCCTGTGATCGTCAGATAAAATCACCGAAACGCCCGTGAGAAGCTCACCGATATACCGATCGCTCACCCTCATCATTACAGCCCTCGTGGGACGTGATGATCAAACCACCATCCGCGTCATGACAGGCCGCTCGGGCGTCTCGTGCTGAAGAAGTATCCACAAAGTGTAGCTTCATCGTGTCATCCCCACATTGCACATCTTTGAGGTGATGTTCATGCTCTTCCAAGTTGAGTAGTGGTCTCTGCCCGCCGACTTTGACCTGCGAAGCAAATGTAGACTTGTCATTCCAGACGTTCTCATCTAGCGCATCGTCAGTAGTGGTACGACTTCAAAGTTGCTTCAACATACTGTCCACGTAGGCCAACTCAGACTCGAATCTCTTGGTGATCCTCACACCCCTCCGATACAAGTCTGTTCGTTTTGTAGCTGCTCGCAGCAGCCGATGTGTCTCAAGGTCACCACCCGAGATCGCAGCAACTTCCGTGCTGAAGTATGCGATTAAGAGAACGGCAAATGCGCCGCGGAGGCTGGAAAACTGCATGTCGTGCGCGTATTAATCGAAAGAGATGAGTTGAAAAAATGTTCGTGCTCTTGTGAGGGCCAAGCAGCGTACGAACGACAACCCGATTATTAAAAGAATGTAAAGAAAACGAGCGAATGTAAAGAGCGTATACCTCACTTCGAAAAGGAATCTCGCCAGCGAGTGTAGACGACAAAGATATATAGAAAAGAGCCCACCCACGAAGAGAATCCACACACACCGAGAAGGAAACGGAAGATACCTACCCCTACGAAGATCGGACGAGAACCAAGCCTAATAGAAAGCCCGACTCATTGCAAACCCCAGCACAGCCAAGCCAACAGGCTATGGAGATCATACACTGCACGGTACCTGCATTTTTGTCACTGCACAGGTTGTCTTGCGCAGCGAGGGCTGCACCACGCGTGGTAAGGCCCAAGATCCTCGGCCCGTGGTTCGCGTCGCATGTTTTCGCGTGTGGTCTAGTCTATCGCGACCGTGGCGTGAATGGCATGCGCTACAGCTGTCATAGGTCCGTCAACTCATAAGACAGCGGAGTAATGGTACGGGGGTGGGTTCTCAAACGGGGATTGTGTGAGAAAGGGTTCTGTTTGCCTCAGGTTCTTGTCCAAGCGGGTGGGGCAGCCTAGTGTCGCTAGCGCAGCACTATTCTGCTTTTCATCTCTTGCTGCGACAACCCCTGAGGCTTTTCTATCGCTATCTTCAATTGCAGGACTTTCGGAACTTTCGGCAGGTAAAAAGGGCCTTTGGTGTATTGGTAAGGGCTTCAGAAAGGTGAAGTTATGCCGAACGGTGTATTGGATGCTTTCAGACAAGTAAGGTGCATAGCACGAAGGAGCTCGTCGACGTGGGATTTGACTCTTCTTCATGAAAAGCGCACGATGAATCCACTGAAGGATGCAAATGATGTGTACTATAAGCCCGAAAAAGCCCCAAAGGTGCCCAGGTGGTGGCGCAGGCTTTAGGCGGCAGCCTTGGCCTTTGCTGCACCTCGAGAACGCTGACAAGTGTAGCACCGTCCACGATACTCTCAATTACCCTCTCGTGGTTTCCACTAGGCCCATAGAATGCCGCCGTCGGAAAGCCCGTATGTCGATGTACCGCTCAATCTCAGGAGAAAGAGCATCAGGCTGGTAACCCTGGAGCATGGCGACGCGTCAGGGCCCATCAAATGCATTCTGCAGAGCCATGCGCTGGACGAGTGTCCAGCTTACGTCGCTCTTTCATACGCTTGGGGCACTCAACAGCGATATGACAAGATCCGGATCAATGGCTCGTCTTTTCCAGTCGGTCGCAATCTGTGGCACTTCCTCCACCAAATGCGTACGCAGCGTCACCACGTCTCCTTCTGGATCGACGCCATTAGTATCGATCAGGCGAACGTCTTCGAGCAGAATCACCAAGTACAGATGATGAGGGAGATTTATACGCAAGCTTGTTCCGTATGGGTCTGGCTCGGTGAAGCGGATCATTCCACATCTAGCGATGTCGCGATGCGATACCTGAGTAAGCGCGCAGTTTGGAGTCGCAAAGATGTCGACTTAAGAAGATTCTGGACTGCACGCAAAGCGAAAGCCGTACTAGAGCTGTTTGAGAGGGGATACTGGAGAAGAATCTGGATCGTGCAAGAAGTCTTACTGGCGAAACACGTGCAGGTTTTATGCGGCGGCTATCGCTTAGAATGGGCCAAATTGCAGCAGCTATTGGAAGATTTCCAAGCTATCTCGGATAGAGGCCGATCTATTCACATTGTCGGCATACCAGCTGTCCTCGAGAGCTCAGCTGCGATCATTATCAGAGCGAAAGCGCAATGGAACGGCGTTCCTCAATCGTTCACATTACTACTCGAACAGTATCATAGACAGCATTCGACCGACGTCAGAGATAAAGTGTACGCCCTCCATGGACTGGCAAGCGATAGTAGTATGATACCCATCAACTACCGGATCGATCCAAAGCAACTCCTAACCCAGATGATCTGCCATGCCTGCTCGCCACTAGCGCCCAAGATGGGAACGAAGCGATCAAGCACTGGTCTACTTGATTTTGCAAAGTTGATGCAAGAATCACTCAAGATCCTTTGCGATCGGGCAGAGCTGGGTCGTCATGTCGAAGTGGCTTGGTGGAATCGCATTGTATTTTGCAACTTCAGTTCTTCAAGAGAGACATGGTACACGTGGCGACTTGACCTCCATGAAGCAGGCCAAGGATTTGGACAGAATATCGACGACACGACTCGGTATGTAGATAAGTCCCTACATTTGCAGCCATCAGATTCACCAGAGCAGGGAGGGGTTGTAGGGTTTGCCACGGAGAAGGGGTTGTATCACTGCAGCGTAAGAGGATGTCGCACCGATATTGGTGAACGATCGGAACTCATCTGTCATGCGCAGTTCTATCACGATGAATTCCATGATTGCTTCGTGGACGGCTGTCCTCACCGCTTCGATCGCAAGGACAAACTGTGGGAACATATCTGGCAATCTCATCGAAAAGTGTTGCAGTCACCTTCTCTCTCAGAAAAGATGTTTGACTTGCTTTATCGCGGAGACAACTTGACGCGCAAACTCCCTGCGGCGTGCCATTCGCGACATCAACACAAAACCAATCCCTACACAATGGTACACTGGGATTGGAGATGGCACTCATTAAAGGTAAGGCAGCCGAACAACGATGGATTACCCAGACATCACGGGTCGTGCAAAACTTTTTGTACCTTTTGTACCTACCATTGGGAGTGCAGACTCAATGAATGCTCTTGTAAATACATCACTAGACAATAGTTATATATAAGAAGCGAATATCTCTCCACGAAGACTGCGGCCCATATGTCTCCTCCAACCCAACACCCCTCTCACAAAGCCGCACCAATCCCCTCACCCACCGGACAATTCGGTACATTCTCCTGCCAAGCAACCTTCGCATACGCCGGCAAATAGCTATTAGTCGTAAAGCTCTCATCAATATAATACTCCACCTGACTGACCGAAAAGTCACCACCAACATCAGGCTGGTTCAAAGCGTCGACGATGTAGCTAGCAATAAAGTCCAAGAACACAAGATCAACAGTCTTCGGCATCGATCCATCGAGCGGGAAGGAAGCGTTCGCCTGGAGATCATTGGGCTGGGAGAAGTTGGGGATGGCTGAGTGTACGGTGTCGTCTCCGTCGGCGCCGAAGTCGTCTTTGGTCGTGTAGCCTGGGTTGGGGGCTGTGGATTGACGGCGGATGAGACGGCCGCCTTGCTTTGAGCGGCGGGTTACTCCTTCGTAGTGGTGGGTGAGTGGTGGGTCGAGGCAGGTATCCCTGTCTGCGAGGATGGGGCTGAAGCCGAAGTCGGCAGTCTCAAGGTCGCGCTTCTTCTTCTGGAAGGGGCCGGCGTTCAGTATGCCGAGGACTTGAGAGGCTTGCTCGTAGGGTACGTCGGGGATGAACTGGAAGGCGTCTTTGAATGGGGAGACGATGAAGGAGTCGTCGTAGGTGAAGGGGCCTTTGGCGAGGTCGAAGCGGACGGATCCGGTGTTGATTATGATGAGTCTGGGAATGTCCTTGCGCGTTTCATTGACGACGACGGTGGCTAACGCGGTTTGAAGGAGTCCGAAGATGTTGCCTTCGGCTAGGAATGGCTTGCAGTACTGACAGTATGTCGCTGGCGCGCAACCGTACAAATCAGTCAAGTTAAGCTTGGCTCGTTCCGACGTAATCTCATTAGTAACGCTGACGCCGGCAGATGTGTCGAACGCGGTGTAGCGTTGGCTTCCCTTGGCATGGTAGGCAAACGTGTTACGGTTCCAATCAAGGTATCTTCGGGCGTAGCGGAGAGTGGAGTTGGAAGTAGACGTAGGCAGATGAGCACTAGCAGATGCAGTTCCGCTGCTTGCCGGTACTACCGCGCTGCGTGTCGGATTCGGCACACCTTTGGGGTTATGCTGCGCCTTGCAAGTCTTCGATTCGATGCCAGACATGGCGACCCAGCCTAATGTCTCGCAGTAACGTCCTGAGACTATGTTAGCCACTCCTTCCAAAGCACGTCCGAAGTACGTACCAGACTCAATTCCTGTAGCTTTGTCGTCGTATACGGCAAAGTCTCGGATGTGGGTATGTCCACCAAAAGCTTGAATGGGTACGTCAGGTTTCATGCTGCGGATGGCCTTAAAGACAGTGCCCATTGTACTGCTAGAAACGCTGGTTCGCACGGGGTTGTGTCCAGTTATTACGAACAAATCGATTGGCTCGGTATAGTTGACAGCTTGTTGGAACCACTGCTGCTTCACCATGTCCGCTGCTTTGATGACCTTGGAGACGTTGCTGTTGCCGGTGAAGTCGAAGAGGACGCCAAAAGCCATGATGCGCAGCCCTGGGTCGGTCAGTATTTGATGAAATGTTACGCATGGCCGACTTACCCTGCTCTGTGGTTAAGTAGCGGTAACGAGACCCAATGTACTCAAACTGGCCAGTAGCGGGGTTCTTGATCTGCACATTGCTAGTGAGATACTTATCGCCATAAACCTTGGAGAAGTTGTTGAAGGTCTCGTAGGCAATTTCGGTAACATAGAGCTCGTGGTTCCCAATAGTCAACAAGTCGTAATCGACGTTTTCGAAGATGACGTTCGATACGTTGCCATTGGGAGTAGTCGCATCGCTGAGTCCAGCACCGTCATGTAAATCCTATTGCACGTTAGTCGATCCGCGACCTTCTCTAACCACGTGCGCAGCCCTACTCGTCCCCAGGGCTTGATGGCAGACACTAACCCCTGTGTCTACCAGAAGCAGATCGACGCCCAGATTCCGAGCCTTCTGCTTCATGTGCCTGGTGAAGCTGGCGTAATCACCCCAATCGGCCCCATAGTTCTGTTCCTTGATGTGACCTTCCAGCCATCCATGGGTATCCGTAGTATGCAGGAAGTTGATTTGACCCCATTCCAGTGGCGCTTTCGGTGTTGTGGTCGCATTCTGCGCGTCCGGCTGCATGCGACGAACATTTCTGGTCAACACGACATC